CCGCTCTTCGGAACACAGTTGTAAAAATTGTGAACGCATGCACGTTTTTTTCCCCAAGCAAACACTAACTCAACAAAATATTAAAGCTCGCACATGGACAAGTATATTTTAACATCTTTCAGTTTAGATAGGGCAGATAGATAGTACAATGTTACAAATTTCCTAATTTCGCCTCCTTTTAACAACTGTTTCACTACTTGCTGGAAGAACTCTTGGCATCAAATCCAGGGTGACTGGCTTGCAAGCCATTTTCTGTAAATGCCAACCCGTCTGATAAATGACTTTTTAACTTCCCAGTGTTCTGAACTACACTCATTCATTTATTAGCTCTGCAAACTCTCTGGTAATGTCAGGGCCTCTTTTAATAGCTGAGTTACAATATCACAATTATGGCTGCCCCAATTATTGCACATGATTAGTTAGCAGTCTCACGAAATGAGTTGCAATGTAATGCAACTGCTGCTTGTGCCAACATGATAGCAACTCTCCAGAATCCCTGTAACAGAACATTTTGGTGGAAATTTTAATTTGCTACTTTAGAGGTTGTAGCCTTGCCTTCCATGATTTTCCTCTCTTGATGCAACAAAACTGTAGGCTGGCGGCATGTAGGACTCGTAGAGTTATTTTGTTTAGCTGGGTATTTGCAGGAGCAGCACTGAGTACAGTGCAGAATGGTCATGAGTTTGGAAGGATTTTTTTTCGCTGGTCAAAAAATACTGATAAATCACCAAGAGTGATTAATTAACCTTAACCTTCCAGCAGAGTTGAGCCAGTTGATAAGAATTAGAAAAAGTTAGCCCTTCCACAAATCCAGCCTTTATGCCTAAGTTTTCGAGGGCATTCTGAAGTTGAAATGGACAATTTATTTTAAAGATTTTCAATGAAAATATCTAAGTCCATTTTCTTTTTTAAGCGGTATTTTCTACAGGTAGCTAAGAGACCTCTGATCTCTGCTTAACATTTTTTATTTGTTAGCAAATATTTTTATACTTGTGGATACAGTGAGTGTCCTTGTATACATTTTATACCTCTGGATTATCAGAAGTTAATTGGGTTGAATAAATTCTTGATAGAACACCACCCAAGTTAGCACAGGTTCATTGGATGAGTATGAATATTGCATTGGTTATTTAATCACTGCTCTCCGAGAGACACAAATGTGTGTATACTGTCACACAGGACTTTCTGAGTTGCGTATAGAGCTATAAATAACTTCTCAAGGTATACCCAGGCTGATAACTGAAGACAGGCTGGAAAATAGATTGCTGAAACATAAGTGCTGAAATAGGTAATGAAAAGAATTAGTAACAAAGAGAAACACTGAAAACATGTAGATAATGATTTGATGTCTACATTTCTGTGCTCCAAAGCCAGCAAGTGGGGGAAATGTACTAGTTTCCAAAGAGGCTGAGTCATATTGTGGTGTCCTGGTCTGCTCAGAAGTGTTGATTCTGGTCCAGTCAGGAGTGACAGCAGAATGCAAGGAGCCTGTTTTGTTACTATTTCCCTTTTTTTTCCTTTGCTGAAATATTGTTCTTGAATTCTATGAAAAATGCCATGTTGATGGTACAAAAATTCATCTGTTTTGAAAAGAGGAAGTAATTGCACAAAGGAGGCTGATAACAGCATCTGAGGCTGATAACAACACCTGATCCAAATATATCTTAATGAACCCAGCAGATTCAGTGCTTGTTGTATTTGGCCTGTGCCTTTTACTCCTCTTTACCACAAGAGGAGTAACATTATGTATTCCTGAAGAACTTACTTGTATAGGACCTGTGAAGATTTTGCTTCTGCAAATGCTTCTGAAGATCAGGCTGAACATGCATATGATAACTTGAACAGAAATAAACATTATTACAAGACCAATATTAAGCTTTCGAGGAAGATTTTTTCCTGTGGGCTGATTATCCCATAGTTGCCTGCTGCAGAGGTTTTGCATCTTCCCTGGGAAAGAACACATACTTGATTACCAGGAACAACAAGATTCTTCATTAAGTCATCCTAAGGTCTTTTCTTGGAGAGCAGCTCCTGTGTCATCTTAGAATAATGCTCTGACTTGTCAGTCATGTCTAGGAATAACATGCTATACATAAATATGCATTTTATTGTGTGATACATCCAAGTAGGTGATAAAAATATGTTTAAATGTATTATCTAATATTTATTATGGTTATTAATCATTAGAGACTTATTAAATAATTCTGCTTTACAGCTGATTAGCCTGTATTCTGCAGAAGAGAATTCAGTAAACTCAGGGCTTAATTTTGGGGGCAGAGGGATATGAGCATGGACAGGGTGTGTGGCACCTTTTCTATGTTCCATTTTGATAAACTGTTGCAGTTTTCATAAGAGAATATATTATATATAAATCCATCTGAGTCATCAGTGCTTAATTATTTTAATACGCCATTTCCTTTTCTATCATCAACGAGGTAAATATAAGAAGGAAAAATACAAATAGTGCATGACAGTATTTGTAACTCATTTGGTATGTTCCTTTAAATGAAATTTCAGTATTGTATGCAGGGTAGAAATATTTCTTTGATGATTTGTTAATAATACTTTCCTTTTCCCCAGCTGGATTCTGTCCTGCAGTAATATTAACAGCTGCAAGATGTTTCAGTGCAGAGCGTGTTGAAGAATAAAAACAGAGATAGTATTGGGAAAGTTTCAGAATAAAGGTTCATGATGGAATAATTGCAACTTATTCTTAGTTTGTTTTCAAATTGATAGCAACTCCTCTTTTTCTCTTAAAATGAGTCTGTCTTTTTTGATCTCACAACTTGTGTCTAGTCTCTGCATTCACACATTTAAATTTTAGGCCATTAATGTGAGTGTATAGTGTTCAAGCTGCTTGTATCAACTATGACTTCTGAATGTATTTAGGAAGGCTTTTAAAAGTATACATAGTACTGTAATAGGCAAAAGAATGGAAGTTAGTCATGAAGGTCAGACAAACAATTTCAAAGCAAAACTGCAGTTGTTGTGTCTTAGCATGTTGTAAGGGCAAAAAATATATTTTACGTGGCAGCTGTGGAATTTGTTTTCTTTTTTAGCAGATTTGTTACAACAGGAAAATGGTGTAGCAGCATGCAAAGCAACTGTCCTATCCTACTCATTCTGCTTACTGACTGAAGAATTTTGTTTCCTTTCAGATGCAGTTTCCACATCTGCTTACTCATCACCAGCCAAAAGTTTGGGAGACCCTGGAATAACTCCACTGTCTCCATCTCATATTGTGGTAAGAAATGTACTCTTAACATACTGTATGTTGACGTTGCTTTCTCCTGCCTGTTCAGTGGGATGTAATTTCTTTAGAAAGTTGTCATTTCCTCGCATAGTGATCCTTTTCATGCTCTCCATAGTCTTAAGCGAAATCTTGATCACACTGGAGTTGGTGACAGAGCTCTCATTCGGAGTTGGTGACAGAGCTCTCATTCATTTCATTGGGGTCCTGAGTTTGTTTTTTTTTATCTACTTGCTGAGTTGATAGATTTGCTCCTGCATATTTTTATATCAAATGCAGGGGCTTCTTGATCCTCAGGGTTCCCAAGTTCTGTCCCTGTCTTTATCACTGATTCGTTTAGTGATAGTTCAGAAAAAGTCTCATTCTGTTCAGAAAAAATAGAAGGATATATATGATGTTCAACAGTAAAATCTGAATTCTCAGAGAAAAGAATCTCCTCCAGAGAGAGAGAAGCTCAAAATAGAACTGTTTTAGTTTCTTAAGGAAAATAGCCACTTCTGTAAGCTTTTAAGCAAGCAAATGTCCCATAAAGGTATTGTGTTTTAATCTCTTATACATCATGTTCATTTTGTTGACAAACTCCTATTAAAACTAATTCCCATCTGTTTTTAAGATCATCTGCATCATCTGTAAAACAGTATATGCACAGTGTGTTTCTTGATATTGCAAGGGATCATGTTCAGAACGCATTGCTACCCTTGTCAGATTTCTTCCTTAGCTTTCTGAATCAAGTTCAGAGTTCTATAGAATCATAGAATCATTAAGGTTGGAAAAGACCCTTAAGATCATCGAGTCCAACTGTTAACCTATCACTGCCAAGGCCACCACTAAACCATGTCCTCAAGCACCACGTCTACCCGTCTTTTAAATACCTCCAGGGATGGAGACTCAACCACTTCCCTGGACAGCCTGTATGACATCCCTCTTCAGGATTTCCAGAGTGTTCTCTCATAAATTTTTACTTTTATTCCCTTTTTTCTCCATATAGTCTAGAACTTACCCTTTTTACTTCTGTCATACTGATGCATTTATATCCTCTTTCAGTTAGATTTGTTCCTTAAACTCTTTGAGGAAGACATACAAATACCATATTGCTCTAGTTGAAAAGATTTATTAGGAAAATCCAAACAAGTCTTTCATTATTTGAGACCAAACCTTATTACTCTTGTTTCTGTGTTTTAAGTAGCAGGCCTATGGGATGATCTTGGAAAATGTAGGGGTACAATAGAAAGGTGCTGGAAGTAGCAGGCATGGAGATAACGGAGATATGTGAGGAAGATGGTGGAATATTGCTCATACAGTGAGGACATTTCGCAGTTCATCTGTAAAAGATAATTACAACTGCTTCAAAATGTTATTGAGGGTACAGTCTGAGCAGCAGTGATGGAGGACTCAGACGTGATCTGGATAGTAATAGGTCAACAGGTCTGTTCCACGGTGATTTTGCCAAAATGATGTGTATGCAGATGGGTGTATTACCCTCCTTCACTATCTACCAGCCTGTAGCACATAGCCCTGTCAGCAGCATTTCCAGCTTGTTCTCCTCCTGTCTTGCTAAGCTGTTAGTGCTTTAGCCACCATCAGCACGCGAGCAGTAGTTCCTTGCTCTTCATTACTTATTGCTCCTTTATATAGGACTTAAAATAGGCAACAGCATACTGGGGAGTGGTACAATTCCTTGCTTATTCGCGTCGTGCTTTGTATCACGTCATTATGATTTGGGCCATAACCCTTCCATCTCTTCTAGTTAACGTTCCCATGTTGCCCCTGACTGTGCTTTTCAGGGATTGCAGAATTGCAGGTAAAGGCAGGGAGAAGGATTCAAATTCACTAGATGCAGCTGAACAGCTTTGCACGTTCTAGCACAGACAGGAGGAAAGAATGCATATAGTGCTTACAAAACAAGTGTTATGTAAATTCTTCATAAATAAACAATTATCGTGGGATATAAAGCTTATTGCTGTATTTTGGGTTGTTCTGTCTCCGCTAGTTTTGAATGGTAGTGGTACCTCATGGTCAAGGTTATGACATAGGTAACTCCTAAAACCACCAAATAAGTCCCAAGTATACCACATTGATGGATATAAACATATTCTTCAGTTGACCAATTTAAAAAAAAAAAAAAAAAGAACCAAACCAGCCCCAAACCCAATAGCCTAGTGTTTAGCCGTAAGTTTTAATGATACAGGACAATAGCTTTTTCAAGAAATGAGTATGAAGGAAACTCTTGGTTCAGAAGTTTAGGTATAAAAGGCTTCAGCAAATATATTGAGTTGTACATTGAATTTTGACTTCCATTGCAATGTGCAGCTTTCTGGTATCAACTTTGGTCAGAAATGCAGCTTTAGGGAAGTCCTTATTTCCACTGAAGAGGTATGCATGTCTTGGAGAGCAGAAATACTGAAGGGTAAGACGGGTTACAATTATTCTAATCAGTGACTCAGTGTCTATTTTGCGTCTGCTATTTAACAGAAGGACTCTGATGCAGATGATGCTGTAGAACAGTTATTTCTTGTTGTTGTGGCTATTGATTTTGGCACAACATCCAGTGGCTACGCCTACAGCTTCACCAAGGAACCGGAATGTATTCATGTAATGAGGTAAGGGCTGCAATGCAGCATTTAGTTTTCGATCGTGATAACATGGATTGTCTGCAGTAGCTATAGATATTTTCTACAGGAGCCTGTAATGTCTAGATTTGTCAAGCGTTGCCGCAGCATACACCTTGCTCATGGTTATAGTTTTTTGTTGCATCTTACTGTATTCTAATTTGCTTTAATAATCAATGTGAACACATCCTCTCTGTTATTTTGCTGAGTTTATAAGATGACATGAGTGAAAGGAGGGATCAGTGAGTATTTAGAATTGTTCAGGAAGCAGTGATAATTATTAAGTCAGGATGCCCTTATCTCAGAGATGGAGAGAAACTACACATTTATTAAGGGTCATGGCATTTCCCAGGAGCTGCCTGTCCCCTGCAATCATGCTTGTATACAGTTGTGTGAACAATGCTTAGTTACTTGCACCCAGAAAACTGCTAGTTCATTTGGCTGATTTAAGCTTTTTAGCATTAGATTTTAATCAAATCTCTAATAATGAACCAGTGATACTGGGAAATAAGCAATCAAAAGGCGTGAATGTGAAAATTAAGGTTTGGTGTGAAATCTGTTCTCTATTATATGTGTACAAGGGACGGATTTTAGATGCTGTTATGTAGGGGGGTTTATTTTTTTTATTTCTTGATTAAATCAACACAATATAAATCTATACATATAAATCTAATGCAGTCACAAATGCAAAAACTATTATGGCAGGTACATGCAAGGATTGCCCTACAAACCATTTTTATAGTGTTCTTTATTTTTTAAAGATTTTTTTTTTAACTAAAAACCTATACAATTCTTACTAAAGTATCTTTAAAATGACTATATTGTAACAAGACCAAGATACAGATAATTTCAGACATAAACAAAGTATGTATGAAAAGCTTAGCCATAGAAGTTCTTCTAAACAAAGCTGTTGTTATAGCAGTATGTAATGTGCTGTTTGTAGCACTGTAATACTGAGAACAAAAGGGAAAAAAGTCTAACTTGCTGTAGCGCAGTGTGATATACAGTAACTTTTCTAATCAAAGGTGCTAGCTGAATGCAGCTCTCTAAATTTCAGCAGACAGTATTGACTGTGCACTCAGCCTGCATTTGTATACAGTTTGTATATAGTTGCAAGGTATTTCAGATATCCAGTGCAACTGGGTGATGTGACAGACTGCCTAAAGGGACCTAAATTTTGTCATGGTGTTAGGCCATCCAGTTACAAAGACACCTACCTATTTTATTTTTCTATTATTTAGCTTTTATATTTTATCCCTCTGGAACAAAGGATTAATTTATTTTTTCCTATTAATAGGCACATTTTTACAGTGCTTGCACAACTGTGGAAAATAAGCACCACAGCATTATTTTTCAGTCTGCTTTTCATTAGGGATCCATTTTCAGTATGGATAAGTAATGCTTCGAGGCCTTTTCTGCATCCCATCCACCTCTTGTTCGGTGAACAGCACAGGCAGCTGCATGAGGCTAGAAGTCAAAGGACAGGCCATGTGTTGCTGTCTCAGACAGGTTACAGGGTTGTGGAGTCAGAACCCATGTTGATCAGTTCCTAGTCTCTCTTAACAGCAAATAGTTAATCAAATTTCTTAAAGAAGTTGGATGAAATGAGGGAAGACAGATACAGACCTGAGGAAGCCTAAATCGTATATACTGTGTTATTCCTATAATCTCTCTGGAGATTTTACAATATGAAATCCCTGCTGGTTTTAGGGATGTCCTTTAAGCCATTTGGACTGAAAATTTCACCTTAGGACTTGATTTTGCCATTGAGTTCACACTGTACTGCAGTAAATTACAGACCAGATTCTCCTTCCAGGGTACTAGACTGCCTGCTGTAGATCACTGAGACACTGAAATCTGGGTGCTCTGTGGCCAGCTGAGAGTATGTTCCAAATCTTAAATGACATTTTACTTCTTATGGTTCAAAACGCCGTATTTTGTTCCTTATGCAATAATGGTAGCATGATTGCGATTTCAGACCTATGTAGATATTAATGAGATCCTGAAGTACAAAGAAATGAAATGAATTAATTCATCTAAATAAATATTGCTGGCAGGGAAGTATTTTGGGGAAGATATAGCTGAAACTGAATTATGAAATAATGTATATAATATATACATATTTATATATAAATGCGCATGAAATTATTAAATTCAATGAAAAGAATGGTATATGTATCAAAATAAGGCTTAGGTAGTTCAGAAGGTATTAAGAAGCTCAAAACCAGTATACAATGAGGGATACATGTAAGATAATTTACAAATATTTCAGCAGAGTAAATGTAGCTTCCTGGCGCACTCGAGAATGTTTACATTGAAATAAAGCATACCAGTGGTGCATGGTTCTCTTTGCTTCCTAACATTTTTTCCACCTTCCCTCCTTAGTGTTGATCCTTTCCAGACATTTAGGTTTCTGACTGCCTTTTAACAAAGCTGCTTTTCTGTAAATGTCTCAATGAAGGGTAAGATGGGTTTATTTAGAAGGTCCTACTTCAGAAAAGAGTGAACACACAGGGCTTTAGTACCAAGTCTGAGTGTAGTGTCAACAAAGTTGTGATTCTAGTTGTGTAATAAGTAGACGAAGTCATGCTTTTGACTGTATGTGTTTATTTGCTGTGATGCCCAGTACTGAAAAAAAAAAAAAGAATTTACGAGCATTGACCTAACAAAGTTCTTTAAGCATATACTTAGCTTTAAATGTATGAGTAGCCTCACTCACTGCAGTAGACTAAAGCATGTGTTTGGAGTTGGGTGTGTGTTTCTAGATGATTGATAAATGACTTTACCTTGGTTGCATAACGTTAGTTACTGTTTTATCAATTTTAGGTAATACTTCACATCAGTCAACTCTTACTATTTCCCCATGGCTTCTGTAAAGATAGTTGTGGGTACCTTCAGGATCTTGTTGCAGAGTAGAAGTATATGTCACAATAAGTGCTATTTTCTGCATACCTTGAGACTGTGAGTAAATGCATACGAACAGCCTTGCCATCAGCTCAGCAAGCACTTCAGCAGGCAAGGCAGTGCCAGAGCCGTAATGAAAGACAGTTTGGTGCTGGAGAACAAGTTAGTAATGTCTCCTTTGAAGGGAATACACGAGGTCTTACACAGTTTTGAAAAACTCCTATTGATTGATGTGCACTTATGTGAAGTTATAAATGTTTTGGCTGCTGGTTAAATAGCAACAAACTGAATGTAAGTATTTCACAAATGGAGAAAAAATAAGTGAAAAAACACATGCGATTATAAAACAAATTGCGGCCTGTCTTTGGAAGGAGGGAGAATGTGGTCTTTTTTCAGTGTACCTTTACTTCAACCTTCAGGTTTTTCCTTTTCCTTCTCTCCCCTGTTTGACTGTAATTCTTGGCAGACACATGCTTGCCTTTCCCCTGCAAACACACTCCTAGCGGCGTTCGGCTACAGCTTGGTGACCCCACTGCTTTGTTTCCTCGACTCTTATGCTGCAGCTCTGGATCAAATTCCCATCACTCTGCATGGATCACTCTTCTTTGCTCGGTCTGTTAGCCAGATTCATGTGTAAGGAAGGGCATTTCTCTGACCTTAGTATAACCTTGTGATCCTTTCCACACTAACTTTCCTCTTGTCTCTATTTTCACTTTTGATATACAGTCGGATCCTCTGTGGCTTTAAATGGGTCTATGCTGCTCTGTTCAGCTACTCCACTTTATATCAGCCTAGGAACTGGTCTCATATGCCTGAATTTAGGCAAAAATCTACCTTGGGTTCTGCTTGAATAGATTTTTTTAGCTCTGACTGGGCTTTGAGAAAATACCCATCACGTGCATTTAGAATTATTTAGGTTGGAAAAGACCCTTAAGATCATCGAGTCCAACCGTTAACCTAACACTACCACTACCATTTAGAGAGTACTGCTGGCTTGTATTAGGCCCTGCTCTGAATAGTCATTTCTACTTTTTTCCCCTAAGGAGAGCGTTATTACCATCATTTTGCCTGTATTGGGACCATGAAAGAAAACTGCAAACAAAGCTGTTGAAATCCTGGCCCTAGTGACTAGAAGCCTCCACTAACTGGAAAGAGGCAAGGGCTTCACCTGAGAAAGTGTCCCAGTCAGGAGTTACCATGCACATGCCTTTGCAGCTGCTTCTCTCTAGAAAAGATGTCACACAGGAATATTTTTAAAGCTCTGATTGCAAATGGTAAAGTTGGACTTCCCCTCTGTTTCCTTATTGCTCTTTCTGTGACTGAACATTAATACAGGCTGAGAACTTTAGAACTTGCTGAGCAATTGCCGTGTCTAGTTTCCATCAGAAACTCATTGGGAAATGAACATCCAATTCTCTAGGGGGCTTTAAAAATTTCAGCCCGTACCACTGAGCATCAATTTTTCTTCATTTAAATTGCACCTTAAGTGTACTTATTCCGGAAAGAGAAAATGTGCCTAGCCGTAATGAAAAATAAAGAAGTATTGTTATTAGCCGCATCCTATTTATGGAATTTCCCACCAGTGACTCAAAATGAATCATTAATGATTCCAAGTGAAAATGATACCCGTCTGTCTCCTCTCTGCTTGCAGCGGGTGTGTGGGATTTAATGTTCTGGTGAAATAGGCAGTGTTTTCTGTTCATGGGCTGTGGGATCCCAACTTCTTCACGTTGGAACCATATGTTTGCTGGAACACCTACTCAAAGACTTTGGAGTTGACCAAGTACATTTCTAGCAGCAGGTTAGAAGAAATGACCTGGAGCAGAGCCTTTGCCAGCTGATAATAGCTTAGGGCCTGAGCGGTGGGATTAGGGAGATTTAGGAAAGCTTTTTCCGAGTGGATGAAGGTGGAAATCATTCCACTTCTCATCATACTGTTTCTGCTTTCAGAGCAGTGGAATTGCCCTCTGTACTGAAGTAAATCCGCAGACATGTGATTCCCTGCCATCACTGCTGCTGGTGCAAAAAGGGGCAGATTTTGCTCTGTTTGATTTAGTTGAATGGTCTGAAGGGTTCCCAGCACTTTAGAAAATCCTATTCCTTGTTACTTTGCCAGGTATTAACCCCTTAGATAGAAATTCTTCATGTCAGTTGTCTGCCTTGGTCTGAAGGTCGATTCATTTTCAATTGGTTCAACTGTTTCTGAGAGTGAAATGGAAAAGAAGATTTTTTTTTTTTTTCCTGCATAATCTTCCTATGTCACATAAATAAGTACCACAGAACAAGGCAATCTTTTTGTGCTTCAGAACAAGGACTTTGGCAGTCGTATACTATGGAAGTGCGTTTTGCTAGCTATCTTTAGAAAAAAAACAATCAACATGTGGTTTAATAATGAATGCAGTTGCCTGTGTGATCTTAACTTGGCTCCTGTTTGAGCTGCATTATGATTATGTCTGATAGCATAAAGCAGATTTTCCACTGATGCTTTTTTAAGAAAATGTTGCCTGCTAAGTGTTTGTTTCCCATGCTGAAAGTAGGTGTATATGGGGCGAGGGGGGACAGTAATGTGTTTCTTTTTCTTCCATTCTGCTTTTTTTGTGATGGAGAAGTGAGGAGAAGACGAGAATGCTCACAGCTGTCTCTGTGGTACAACTTTCTACTGTCTGACGTGGTTGGTCCCCCCATCCCCCCCCCAATTCCGCTGTTGCTGCATTTAATGGTTGTTCCTGTATTCGATGTTCTTATTATTTCCTTATCCATTCTGTGAAAGAAGCCTTGTGTTGCTTTTCCCTGAATACTTTTGTGCTTCTTGGCTCTTCCTGAAGATACCTTCACAATCTTGATAAGATAGGATAGTTTTATTCACTGTTTTAATGGGTGATGTTGAGGGAAATGTTTTGATGCCTATAAGATACTTGGGGGTTGGGGGAGTCTGCTTTATTTTTGACAGACTAAAATTTTTAAAGCATTTTTGGCATTTAAAACACAAAATCCATCAACTTCAGGTGAGTAGAGAGTGCAACGCAGACAGCTCAGTATCTGCAGACAAGTCTTCAGAGTTTCAGGTGTCCAGGAAATTAGGCACGTGAAGAGGTGTTGGTTGAACTGGCTTGTCTTGCTTCAGAGAGCATTCTGTGACAGATGCAGGGATTTAATTGACTTCTCCGCAGCAGCGTTCAGCTGACTTAAACAGGGCCCTGTTTCAAAATGGGGAAAAATACTCCATGCAAGTAAGCGTGCATGAAGTCTGATTGACAATTGGGTAGGCCATGTTGAGGTTTTGGGTTTTCATTTGTGGGGTTCTTGGATAATTACTTGATTTTTTTTTTTTTTTCCTTACAATATTTATTACATATCTGTGTTTAGTTTGAAAATGTGAGCGTAGTACTGTTTCCTTGTTAATTGTGTGTGGCTTACTTTAAGGAACCTGTGTTCTTATCAAAGATGGTATGATTATGTCCGTAAAAAATTATACAGCTAACTGCAAAATTTATTGAATTGTCTGAAATTAAAATTTCAGTCCTCTTTTCTTGGATGTGAATAAAAACACTTGGTCTTGGTATCATGAGAATTGAAACTAGTATCTTCGGAGGGGAAAGCAGTCTGTGCAGTCTGTCGCCAGATTGTTTTTCTCACGATATACTATTTTTTCTGCTGCTCTAAACATTAGTATCACTTACTGAAGCTGTTTCACTTGTTGGATAGACGATGGGAAGGTGGAGATCCAGGCGTGTCCAATCAGAAGACACCAACTACTATCCTTCTAACACCAGAAAGAAAGTTTCATAGCTTTGGGTATGCGGCAAGAGATTTCTACCACGACTTGGATCCCACTGAATCAAAGCACTGGTTGTATTTTGAAAAGTTTAAGATGAAGCTACATACCACCGGTGTAAGTAATAACCAATGGTCTTGGATAATTGTGCATTTGCTACTCAAGTCATCTTCCTTTGAGCAGTGCTAGATTTTGCCTAAAAATTGTGAACTAGATGTAAAGCAGCTCTATTTCTAAGTTTAGAGAGTAAATAAAGTAAACTAAACTTTTCAGTTAACATTATGATTCATTTTGCTTCTCTCACTCCGTTTGGTAAGTGTATTTTGCCAGCCTTCTTTGTAGATCTTAGAAGTTCAATATCTGCTTTGCTTAGATCTTCATGTCCTAATTTTCCTGGGTGAAATTCATAGCTGTCTAGGGAGTCTCCATGAGGTCGGTTTGTTCTTTAAATTTCCTCAGAAAGCAGAAGTAGAATACGAGAGCCATACTGAACTCTAGTGCAGAGGAGCAGATTTACCCAGAGTTCATTGTCAAAACTGCAAGTGCAAATCGTGCTGTTAATTTGACATTATCCCTACTGATTATATTTTTGTCTTTAAACTAAGCCATTTTAGAGTTTTGGGACTTGGCCAGTACTCTCTGTATTGAGGTATTTTCTGGTTTCATGTGTTGGTGGGAAGCCAGAAATCTATGCTTTTAACTCTTAACTTGGATTAAATATCTTGCATATGCAGCTTTGTTGCAATTAATTACAAATACATTTTTTTGTTATTTAATATTTAGTCCATGTTTCTCTCTCTGCCTGCAGTTATTTGTAGACGTGATAGGTGTTGAAAAACAAAGTCTAAAATAAGCAGCAAATGTCATGCTCCAGGAAATTCAAGTGATGAGTTAGATCCTCTTCAGAACAATTTTGTCACTTTTTTTCCTAGCCAGGTGGATAAAGAATTCCCTTCCCTCAAGCAGTGGGAATTAATTTCATGTTTATCTTTTCCTTTTAATAACTTCCGGTTATTTTCTTTCATGTAGAACCTTACCATGGAGACAGACCTGACAGCTGCAAATGGCAAAAAAGTCAAAGCACTCGAGATATTTGCTTACGCTCTGCAGTTCTTTAAGGAACAGGCATTAAAGGTAAGGTAATGCTTCCTTATCTAGAGTTTCTGTATTTATAACTGGTACAAATGTGAGCTTAATACTGGTAACTTTGCCAAGCTTTGACCTCAGTATTATTTGATGTAAACAAAGCAAGGCAGCTGTAGAAACTCTAGGCAGGCTGTGGACTCTGGAGAGCTCACAGTAGCCTGAAGTGATTTCCCCTTGCACAGGGGAAGCTTGATTCAATAATGGTAAGTGTATCACTGTGATGTAGAGTTCTGAATATCTTCTTATAGCTTAAATATTTTCTACTGCTTTTTTCATGAAAAAAACATTGATTTGAAAAGAAAATTTAAAAGTGCAGGAGCTGAAGCTCAGGAATGAAATTTGAGACTGGGTCCTGTCCTTGTCCCCTACACTTCTGCTGCTTGGGCAATGGATTGTTCTGTGTTCACACAAGGTTCTCTCTCATAGTAAAGAGCTGACACTGTGAAATGCAATAGGATGGGCACCTACTGACGTCTCCTGCCCCAACCTGACTTTGTTTTCACTGATGAAGCAAAGGGAAGTCGGATGAACTGGATTTATTTTGTAATAGAAAGATTATTAAAAGCTCATTTATAATTTGGTGACTTGAATCTCACTGTTAGTCTGTACAAAGATGACCTGCTGAGGTGTACAAGCTGGCTAACCTGGTGGAAATAGTGTAATTATGCCAGTGCAATGGTCTGTAAAGGCCACTTGATTGCACTGAGAGGTTCAGTGTATTACCCTACGTGGAATTCTGCACCAGCACAGATATATAGCCTCCATTACCCAAACCAACTCAGGTACCTTTGCACAACACTCCTTTGTTCTGTTTTACACAGTTAAACTGTAGCGTGTGTGCCGAAGAGCCGCAATTAGTCTATGGTATTTTGGCCCTGTGCTGACCCTTTGCAGGGGTGAATTTAATGTTGTTATGCTGTGAGATTTGGTTGCCCTGATCCTGAATGCACGTTTATGCAGAAAATCTAACAAGCATTAGGGAGAACCAAAAAGTAAGACAGACATCTGTTAGGGGTTTAATTTGTAAATTCATACTGTGTTCTGATGGACTGCCTCAATTTATGTTGCCTTTTTTTTTTTTCTTTTTTTTTTTTCCTACTGTGGCTGGTGTTGGTAGGGAAAATGCATTTTATTTTCCATTTCCCATTTGAAATGTTGCAATACTCGTTTCTTGCAATATTCTTCTTGGGTTACAAGATTGTTTTTCGTATTCTCCTGTGAAATACGTGTCCCCGGTAAACAGTTTTTGAGATTTAAAATCTTATGTAAACAGTCAAATGTGAGTTAAGTACACATTGGCTTCAAATGCACCACTATAATGTCAATGTAAGCATAGTAGTTGCTGGGTCAAATCAAAATATTAATCCAAGCAAGCATTGTTTAAAAAAGCCTTGTTGTTAAAAACTAACCTACTTTTTTGAATGGGTTTAATTTATTCTCTGTGAGATCTCAGTCTGTTCTTTATGGCTACAGAGAAACAATCCTACTGTTGCAACTCAAATTCCTCATCTTGTCAAAGACTTATTTAACTAGATTTTGGGGTTGATTGTGGAGTCACAGACGTGAACGCGGGCATAGTCTGGGGAAGTTCTTCACGAATATGAATGCTGTTGGGTACAATCCCATATATTTGCTGTGCTGCCTGTTCAGAGCTACATCCTTTCTTGAAGCTAATTAATAAATCCCTGTGATTTGTGAGTGCATGCTGAAACTAATTAGACAAGCGGTGTCAATGAACTGTTACTTTGCACTATAATCTGCCCATTCCTAGTGCCCTGTGCAGTATAAAGGTACTACATTTCTAGCATGGATTTTTGAGCTGCAGCATAGCTAAACAAACACAACACCTCGGCATAGCACATGCAGAAACATTTTTTTATATTCTAAAGGCTCGTTGTTCACCTTTCTGAACATTTCCCTGTTTGGATGGAGATTTAGATAGGACATATGGTAATGACATTTTACTTGGAACGTTTCCCAAAACATGTCAGTATATCACCTAATTTGCAAATGCAATACAGACTTTCCTTTTTTTAAGGGGGAAAAAAAAGACAATAAAAGAACTAAACTAGTCTTGAATGTTTACTTAAAGCAGAATTTTCAAGGAACAATCAGTCATTTTTTTTTAAAAGGTTTAACTGTAACTTCCGCTTGTTAACTGAGTTGTAAAAATATGATTTAAAGGTAAGTGGTGTATAAAGAAGTCATTGAAAAATCCAGATTGTAGAACATAATGTTCATCAGTGATACCTCAAATATTTTTCTGTGTGTTAACCAAGATGCAAGTGTGAATTCTTCAAACTAACAGCAAATCCTGCACTGTGGCTAAGAACATACATAAATGTTTTGTAATACTCACCAGTGCATGAGCTGCTTTTGGAAAACCTAACTTTTCTATTTCATGTTAAGCAGTAAACTTTTCCTTTAGAAGGCATAAACCCTAATCCCAGCTTTTGGCACAGTAGAGCATTCTTGACAGGTTGGCAATAATTCTGATTTGTAGCATAGATGTAACAGGAAAAAAATTGAAGAGAGAAAGTTACTGTTACTGGAGCCAGCAGAAAATAATGTTTTCTTATAAAGTTGACACCCATCATTTTGCATTCACCTCTATTTTCCTTTTATTTAGGAGCTCAGTGACCAAGGAGGCTCGGACTTTGAAAACACTGAAGTAAGATGGGTCATTACAGTGCCTGCTATTTGGAAGCAGCCTGCAAAGCAGTTTATGAGACAAGCTGCCTACAAGGTAAGATTACAGGCTGAAGGTAGAAATGCCCCTGTAAAGCCCTAGTTGACAGCCTAAATGATAAACTGTATTTGGGACAATTAGCGCTAGTATAAACTGTATAAAAATGGTCTAGAAAAGAGTCAGACTAGAAACATTGAAAGAGAAATTAACTTTACTGGACAGTAGCTTTAAGTCGTACATATTCAGCTCTTAAATGCCTTTTTCTTTCTATTTACTTTTATATATTGCTGTCCTTCACTGCAGACTGATGTTTTAGTCATCTTGTACACTGTATTCTTGCTGAATTCAGTGCACATGGAACAGATGCAGTTTTGAGACCCAAGGGAAAGCTGATTTTAAAATACTGGATGCAGTTTTGTTTTGTTATTTTCTTTAGGTCATCACAGACTTTTACAGTAGGGGAAAAAAAAAGAAAAAGGGAAGAGGAAGAAAAGCAAAAAGCCTCCTTGGTGGGACTTTCTTTCCAGTTCCCATTTTCCCACAGTAGGAATGAAAGGACTGTGAAACAGATAGTCTGGATATAAAATTAAATTCAAACATTATTTTCACTAGTAAGAGGTTTATCTGCTTTTAACCCTTTCCCCCCAACCCCCCCCAAATATGTGCACTTTCCATATGCATGTTCTTTATTTCAAATTCAGTTTGCGTCTTTGATACACGAGATATACACATTCTTCTTTTCATCAGGATATTAATTTTTTGTTTTGTTTTATTTATTTTTGGTGAGAGACTTGCGTAACCCATTGGCAGCAGCTATGCGATGCACAGTTTGTAAAATATCTAGTAGTTCATGAGAAATTTGCAGAGTGCTCCTGGGAAGCACCCAGATTTTTCTACTCTGTTTCTAACTATCTCTAATGTTGAGCAACATTTTTCTTAACAGTCTTTATTGTGGGATTGCTAATACTAGTGCCAGAAGCAAAACACTCTTAAAGTTCTGATGGAAGGACACGGTTGTAGGTAAATCTGAAACACTAGAGACCCATTCATTATCTTTGTATATTGTTGTCTGCCTGCTGTCTGTGTGCATGTGTGCTCGTGAACCGGGAGCTGTGTAAGGAGCAGGGCAGGGGAAGGTAGATCTCTTGGCGTTTCTCATTTGTGGCACAATGGAATGTTGTTAATTAGTGTCTGTGTCTGTGGTTTTGTCTGTGATTGTGTACTTTTATCGGCAAGCTTGATAAATAGCAAGGACTGACAAGGCTTAGGGAAATAATTGAGTTTAGGGAAATAATTGATGTTTACTTGACACACATGGTTGATTTTTTTTTTTTTTTTAAGTAATGGGGATGAACAAAGAAGTGCAGAAAACTGAGAGTTCTGCATTGCCATTCAGTCTTTCAGATTCCTATTGCTGGATCCAACATGTTCCTCAAACCAGTATGTACAGACGGATCAGAAGTTGCAGCCCTTGTTGCTAGCTATTGGAACATCCAGGCATCATGAAAATGAGAGCTTGTTGTCGTAAGAGTAATCGGGGCATCGAGTAGAGAAAAGTGTGAAAAGGCAGTGGTAGAAACTTTGTTACTGGAAACACACTGAGGTACAACCACTAGTCCAAGATGAGCTAGTGGGAAACGTTAATGAACTGTATAAATCTGCTTGAGTAATCTGTGGCAAGTGATGTGGCTCTAAGAGAACAAAAATATTAACGCTTCAGTCATTGGATCACAACATAAAGCCCAGCCTTTCTGGAATGGTTAATTGGTTGTCTAGACAAAGCTAAATATTGCATGGAATTACTAAAATCAAGTAAAAAGTGCTGTAGGTGCTGTAGGTCTGCATCTGCACTCAACATCCATCAGCTTTTGTAAGGCCTACAATCTTAATGCCTCTCTGACATCCCCTCATCTCTGTTTTGCCTTAAACAAAATATTGCTAACCTGGAAATCTTAATCTGCCCAAGGGATCCCACGGTGCCCCCTTCCAGCTGCTGTGCTGCTTTCTCATTTGAACGAGTAATCTGGGTGTTCCCTTCAGCTCACAGTTCTTCCTCTCTCTTTCAAGCTCCTGCTAATTCTGTCTGCATGACAGCTTTTCCCGTCTGTACGTACTGCTGAGCTTTCATCAAAGCTGTCACTGATTTTGCATCTCAGTTACTACAGCATCATTTCCTTGGCTTTGGCAACTGTGATCTGGCCTCTTTTGCATCCTTTCAGAATGCTGCCGCTAAAGGGTTTCGTAGCCTCGCATTTGACAGGGAGTCAACCTACATTTGACTCCTTCATCTGTGTCATCTCAGAGATAAGCTGCATGTCCTGCACATGAACATCTGTAATGCTAACTCATTTTCCTCCTCTGAAACCCTCTCTAAAATGCTGTTTTTGTCACGCCTACAAAAACTTAGCCATGACTTACCTATCGATATGTGAAAACTGCTCTTCACTGCTTCTTGCTGTTACCCTGCCAGCCCCATCTGTATTCATCTATTGTACTTTTTGTATTCTTAACTCTTTTTATATTTGAGTTGTTACCTCTTTGAAGCAGGTATTTGTTTATTCTTATTTGTTTTGCTCACTGGGGCCTCCTGAGGGACTAAGCCTGGTCGGCTGTAGAGAGCTGCATGTCCTTATAACCTTGCTTTGCTGAATCAAAATTACTTTCTTCCTGAATAACAGTCCAGAGATGCTTCTTCCTGTCCCTCATGCTTAATTCCTGCCTATCCAGAGATAGTTTGAAAGCTGTGTGACACCTGTTGAGGTCCAGTCTCATGTGGAGAGAGCTCTGTGGCAAGAGCACAGCGTCATCTCTGTAGGACCCACTTTGGCTTAAGTTTCCTTTCCCAAAGCGTGTCTGCTGGGGTTAGTGGGCATTGCATCTGTGTTCGTTACATCCTGAATAATGACTCTTAGGATGGATCACTCAGGTTTCCTATTGTCCCACCCAGCAAAATATAAGGCATCATAAATAGCATTAACTTTTTTTGTTTCTGTGTCCTAGTTGTTCCATTTCAAATTCTTTGCTTTGGTGTAGTTCTGTCAGAAGTGCTGTATTTACCAGTATTAGAAGGAATCCTATTCTCATGAAGAACTCACATCGTGAGTAATAAATTCAAACTGCTGATATATTTTTCTTATTTTGGAGACTTTGGCAACGTGGTCTGGTTGGACAGCATGTGGGAGGACTCTGTCCCACTCGTGGGTGGGACCTGCCCTTATTCTGGTCCTTGCAGAAGCAGCCAAATGCAGCTACCTGCATGGGGCCCGAATTTTAGACCCCAGTACGAAAAGGTGGCTTAGGTGTGGAGGCAAGCCGCTTCCCGCTCCTGAACATGGCCTGGCATCTACAGCCTCATCAGAATGGCTTGTGAACATGGACAGAAAACCAGGATCCCACCTCTGTGTCTTTTGAGTTTGTACTGACACAAGAAAATTCAGTGTTTTGTTAGTCTTGTATTACTGATGACAAAAAAAAAAAAAATTGCGTGTCCACTAATGGAAAGGTGAAACTCTAAAAGTATTCAAGACTATTTGTGTAGAAATCCATTGAATCTAGGTAGGTGTGAATAGTTGGTTCAGCCTTAACAGCACTTTGCTGTCTTAATATATTACCATAAGCAGCACTTTTAATCCCTTATCCAAATGAAATTCAGGCACTGTAGATTGCTTATTAAAGGAACACAAGACCCAATATTCTTGGCTGAGTGTTTCTTTTTAGTAAAGGCATTCTTCCAGCTCATCTTTCAATACAAATTCTTTGGGCACAGTAAGTGCAGAGCAGAATCTGCAGGCTGGAATTCCTTGAACATGCCAATAAGAATAAGGTTTTAGGAAGAGTTTGGAGTGTGACAGGAGTATGTGAATGCAGAAGCTATAAAATAAGAAAATAAAACATGACATACCAAATACACTCAGGGCAGAGCAAAGGAAAGGGAAGGATAGCGCATTTTTGTAAACTTGCCTGAAGTATTCTGTAACCTTACAAACATCAGTAGGCTGGTCTACTTAGAGATATTGAGGGTTCTTTTCTTTTAATATGAACTGTTGATTTTGAGATGGAGTTCTAGAGATCTGAAGTAGATTTATATTCCAATTACAAATAGCAAATAAAATTGTTTGCATGGTAAGCTCATAAACAGAGAGGCAATCTAGGTTATAGGATTAAGCATGTAAGCCTGGAATTCCAGAGGCTTTCTTTAACCGGATCTTACACTGAATATTTATTCATATTTGCACATCAGTTTCATCATGGAATGCACAGGATGAGAATTACTTAACACGTTGTGTTCCAGGGTTACGTTACATTACATTGATCAGTACTACCCTGCTCTGTAGAAACCTTCAGAGAAAAGTAAACAAATCTGGCGAAAGAGTAATGTGACAGCACATAAAATCCCTTGCTAATGAAAACATGATGTGATGTATGTTTGATTTTAAAAAGATGACTGGAGAGACTTAACCAGATTGATAGCTGTGAAACTGAGGTACACTTATCCTTTGTAAGTATTTTCTTTGGTACATCAGCCACATGCAACTGAAATTTATTTGTCTAGGCACAGTGTAACAGACTCCTGCTATAAACTACATAAAAAGGCAATGATGTTCAGGCATAAGCAGCACTGGGAAGTTGGTGATTTGTTTGAAACGGTACTTGCTGGTGGAGGCAGACAAGGCAGAAATGTGTTAGCGCGTCAACCATCCTGATTATTTGTAGCTTCTGGGGTTCTCTTGAGTCCATGCTTTCACTTTTGTGATATTAAGATCTTTTTAATCATAAGGATTAAAATGTTTATTAAGTTATATGTTAGGGAGGATTCTGCGTCTTGTAGCTATGTTTAATTAGGAAAGGATAACTAATTGAGGAGTGAAGATTACAGAGTGGGAACTCAGCACAGTGGGAAATGTGTACTAATTGATCTCAGTTTACACGATTTAATTACCCGGCCAGGTTCACATGAAAGCAGAGGCAGTTGACAAAGCCATCTGCTAATCCAGTTCTGTACATTCCTGTTTGTCCACTTCTGTGGCACTAGTTGGACTACATGGAGGTTTTCTTTT